TGTGTTTGGTCCATGTATATAGGTAACCTTCTTGTAAAGTTGGTTTCTTGTCACCTAGAGGCCATCAAACTCCAATGCAGATGGAACCTTGTATGGAAGCTTTTTTTCTACCGAGGACCTTTAGATTGCCTTCCAGAGGACCCCTAGCTGCCGTCCCCATAGGACACCCATAATCAGCAGGAAGTAACCAGACCCATCATCATCCTCACACCCTAACAGCAGTTTGGCTACTTCTCCAGAGGAGGGAATGAGATGGGAGATAGCTAGAGAAAGGCTAGGCAAGTAGAAGGGGTTCTCTGGGAACAATGTGGCTAACAATGTAGAAAACTTCTGGCAGCCTCTCAGTCTCAGTTCTGGTAAGCAAACTCCCCTGAGTCTCTCAAGCTAGAGCTTAAGTACTCACTGCTGGGATTAAAAACAACCAATCAGCTTGCTGCCAAGTACCAACCAATCAACTCACCATTAGGCCCTTACCTCCTGCAGATTGGTTCTTAGTACTGACCAATCAGAACAGCTAGTGCTGACCAATCAGCTCACAGTTAGTGCTAGCCAATTGGCTCAGTCTATATAAGCACCAGGTTTCAGCTCCAAATTAGCAAACCCCTCACGTCCCCTCCCACTGTGGGTGCTTTTCTGTCCTCTCAATAAATCCTGCTTTCTCACTTTCCAGCTGTCTGTGTGCCTCATTCTTCCTGGGCATGAGATAAGAATCTCAACCCTGAAGAGCTGCAACCTAAAGAGCTGAAGAAGATCTTTGAAGCCAAAGAGCCATGCCCCCCAGAGGCTGCCTTGCCAGTCAACAGAGCCAGCTGAACCAGGAGAGCTGCTGGAAGAAGGTGAGACTCTGAAGCTGAGACACCCCAGTGGCTTGGTTTACCAGCCCATTAGAACCAACACTTCTGGGGCTAGGCTTACCAGCTCCTCCAGACAACCCTCTCTGGGGCTTGGCTGACCGACCCATTGAGCTAACACTCTCAAAGCCCAGGCTGACCTGAAAAATCCATATCACCATGTTTTTACCCACCTGTCCTCCAGGTGATTTCTTCAGAATAGGTCAACATTATGTGAGCACTCTGATTTGGGGCTGCCACAATACCCATGGAAATTAACCTACAGAGGTAGGTAGGGGAGAAAAGGAAAGAATGCTCCCTGCAGAAAGACTCATAAATGAAAGAGAAGAAGGTGAGTGTTCACAGCATATTTGAGGAGTTTCAAATAGCTTAGCTTGACCAGAGAATAGCAAGGAAAAATAAGGAATGATTTAGGCCCAAAAATAGGAAAAGATTTTTTAACATAAAAAGTATAAAACAGGCCGGGAGCGGTGGTTCATGCCTATAATCCCAGCACTTTGGAGGCCACGGTGAGAGGATTGCCTGAGCCCACTGAAAGGACAGACTGAGAGTGGGAAGCCATTTTCATCTTGTTCTTAAACCCTGACACAATGATGAGAAAGTAGAAACTATGCTTTTGGAGAAATGCACACTTTAGGTATAATTAACTTCGCCGACTTTGTCTTTTCAGAAACAGACTTCCAGGTATCAGAGGTATCTCATAGTGGCAATCAAGCTTGCCTAGAGTAAAGGGAATTTACAAGGCCTAAGACATCATGCATTGGGCAAGGACTGTAAAAGTCATGAAACTTGTAATTACAAAAGTTATAACCGCTCAGAGGGAGAGCAGGGGATTTGATCTTCCAGTAAATTGGGCACTATCTACAGGGAAGACAAAGATCCCCCAAAGCTACCCACTGGGAATGCTTAGAAGATAAGGGGAGGTACACCCTCCATTAGGTCTAAGGAATATCATTTGGGAAGGTGCAGGAGAATTAGAATCCTTGTCATGCCCTTCTCTAGGGGCTATGATAATGTGGGTGGACATTAATGGCTCTCTGTGTCACAGGATCTCCAAGACATCCACAGGTGGTCGACAAGGAAGTCACAGCAGTCACAGCAGTCACATGCAACATCTCCAAGAAAAGAATTTAAGACAGGACTCTGGGGGGCTACAATGTCACACTCAGAGTGTAGGCCCACTCTCTGTCTGTGGGGGGTAAACTTTTCTTAAATAAATCTTTTCTTCTGTCACCTCTGTGTGTTTCAATTCTTTGTATCTACTTGGATCTCTGGGTTCCCAGCATGGCACCTCTGGCTTGCCAGCCCCAGCAGTGCTGCCACACCTCCCTGCACCTCTCCACCCTCACCCTGCTCACCCTGTCCATCAGAACCCTAACACCCACGAGATCGAGACCATCCTGGGCAACTTGGTGGGACCTCATCTTTACAGTAAATTTTAAAGTAGCTGAGCATGGTGGCATATGCCTGTAGTTCCAGCTACTTGGAAGGCTGAGGTGGAAGGATCACCTAAGCCCAGCAGGCCAAGGCTGCAGCAGCTGTGAGCATGCCACTGCACTCCCTGGGTGACAGAGTGAGACTCCAACTCAAAAAATATGTATAAGATATATATTTTTAATAAGACTATAGTTAATAATATGTACCAAAAATTTGCTGAGAAAATAGATTTCAGGTGTCCCTGACCCCACGTACACAAAGTTAACTATATGAGGTGATGGATATGTTAATTTACTTGACTGTAGTAGTTATTTCACTGTGTGTATGTATACCAAAACATCATGTTGTGGGCAACCCCTTCAGGTCCCCTCCCACTGTGGGAGCTTTTCTGTCTGCTCAATAAATCCTGCTTTCTAAAAATAAAAAATAAAAATATCACATTGTATGTCTTAAATATAGACAATAACAAAGATAAGATTTTCAAATATTAAAAAAAAGATTTCTGATCAGAGAATGATGTGGTTAGATCTGTGTTTTTTAAAAGCTAAGGCTGGTAGTAATGTACAGTGTGGTTTGGGTGCATCTATAGGCTAGGATATTTATTAAAAGACTAGTGTAGGCTGGGTAAGGCAGGTTATGTTTGTATTCCCAGCACTTTGGGAGGCCAAGGCAGAAGGATTGCTTGAGGCCAACCGTTCAAGAGCAGCCAGAGCAACATAGCGAGATACCCATCTCTTAAAAAACAAAAAAAAAGTTATTGTAGTAATATGACAAGAGTTGATAAAGACTGAGCATTTTCATGGTTCTGGTTACCCAGTTTGTTAATTTTTTCTCTTTTTCTCTCTCTGACTTCATATCAAAGTTTCACTTATAACATTTTCTAGTCTTTATATCTTCATCTCTGAAGGAATAGTAGAAGCCAGTTTACATCACTTAATTTTTTTTATGTCTCAAGTTTGCTCATCTGTAAAATAAGAAGATAGACTTCACTAGACAATATCCAAGACCCTTCACGCTTAAGTGTTCTATGGAAGTACCTTGCCTCCAGTGAAGAATATTAACGATAACTGTCATTAAGCCAGTTTAAACTGGGAAGAAATTTTAAAAATAGGGAAAGATAAGAGACATAGGCTGTACAATCGATAAACCAGTATTTTATGTTGTATTTCCAAAATGACAATAACAAAATATACACTTTAAGTTCCAATATGCAAAATAAATTCTTTTCTTTAATTTAGCCTCATAAAGAAAGGGTTTTTTTTATTTTAAAGATATGGGGTACGATTCAGAGTTGTAGCAAAAACTGCACTATGTTCACAATATTCTTAACCTCTTGTATTAGGGCTCTTTCCATTTAAAGTTATGGAAACCCATGTCACTAGCTCAAGTGAGTAATAAGTGCAAAGTTCAGAAGTTAAATTAACTTTGGATATGGCTGAATTGGGGGCTCAAATAATATAAGAAAGGTTCTGTCTCTCTCTATCCAGCTCTTAACAAACTACCACAAATTTTGCATGATACTTCAAGACCCCAAGACTTATAACCTAGCAGTAAGAAAAGTCATCTTCCCTGATATCTCTGCAGAAAGATCCCAGGAAAGCTGTTAATGATCTGACTTCAGTAAAATGAGTTTCCCTAAGTCAAATACTGTGGCTAAATGGGTAGAAGACATTGATGTTAGTGGCAGCAGGGGTGGGGGAAGAGACTTGCCTATGACGAGGTCAGCCCTACCTAAAATATGTGCAATTCATTTCCCTATGAAAGAGTATTTCTGATAGCAGAAGAATGGGAGAGGCACATATAACAAGCAAGAAAACAGATGGCAAATGCTGTCTAGATATTCAGCTAAAGGATTAGTGGCCCTGGCCCCACTTATGTTTAACGAAGCTATTCCATTTTTAGTGGAGAAAAAGTAGGGATGGCCGGGCTTGGTGGCTCAGCCTGTAATCCCATGCTTTGGGAGGCTGAAGTGAGTGGATTGCCTGAGCCCGCGGGTTCGAGACCCACCTGGGCAACTTGGTGAGACCTCATCTCTACAATAAATCAAAAATTAGCTGGGCGTAGTAGCGTGCGCCTGTAGTTCCAGCTACTTGGAAGGCTGAGGCAGAAGGATTGCCGGAGCCCAGCAGGTCGAGGCTGCAGTGGCCGGAAGCAGCCACTGCACTCCAGTCTGGGTGACAGAGTGAGACTCCAATTCAAAAAAAAAAAGAAAAAGTAGAGATGGTAAACTTGTTTCTGTTTTTAAACCAGCATCTAAAAAGAAATTGTTCTGCTTTTTAAACTCCAGTGAAAGTCACTAATAATGTTTCTTTTTGTTTGTTTGTTTGTTTGAAAGTAGGATTTATTGAGAGGACAGAAAAGCACCCACAGTGGGAGGGGACCTGAAGGGATTGCCCACTAGTAATGTTTCTAACTATAAATCTTGAGTTGTATAAAAGCACTATATAACAGAAAATTTTAATGGAATTATTTTCAAGTTCAATGTTATCATTACTAGGCAACAGAACAAATACAGAAAACAACATCTGTAATATTTTATTATGGTAACATTAGGATGATAGTTATAAATTTTCATCAACTCTTAGGAATGCATGAGATGAGACTTGACATGCAATTCCCTTTTATGATAAAGTGAAGTGAGATGGTTCAAAAATACAGTTTCAATTATATAAGTGCATCATGCATTTTCAATTATTATTATTGATTCACTGGTTAGAATTTAATTGCATGTGCAAAAAGATTTAAAGCTGTTATTTTGTCCATAATTTCATATGCTCCTATCATAGTTAGTGCCCGAATTAGTTGGTCTGTTAAAGCAGCAGCAGTTAATGATGATTTGTTACTTTCTGTTTTCCATATAACAAGTGCTTGTTGGGCTCTCTCACTTAATGAAACAGTGCTGAAAAAAATTGAAATAATTATTATTTGAATGACCAGTTAAGAATACTGTTTTAAACTACTAAAATATTGTATATCTAGATTTTTAAACTAATTTACCAGATTGAAGTAATGATGAAATTAATTAGAGAAGAGAATCTGTATAAAAGTTTGGCACAGAGCTTGGCACATAAAATGTGAATGTTAGTTCCAATCCATCCCTTGTCTCCTTATAGAAAAGCCACCATTCAAATCTCAAGACCTTAAAATAATAATTGCAGATTATTTATCATAAACCAGTAAATCACTGCTACTGCACTACATGCTTTATAGCTTGGTCTCAGTTGATTCTCATGACAACTCTCTTAGGTAATTATATCCATTTCATTAGTAAAGAAATGAAGGCATAGAGAAGGTAAAGGAATTGCTCAAGGTCACAAAGCCAGCTGAGATTAAAAGCCAAACAGTCTGTCCTCAGAGCCCTTACTCTTTATTATGCTATATGGCCTGCCAACAGATCACAAATATGCAACAAAGTAAAATCAGTCTTCTACAACAAAGTAGTGTTTATGTTAATACAACTGTTTCAAAGCCATGTGTTATCAATATGATATAAATTAGAATATGAGAATAAGTTTGAACCAAAATCTGTCGCTTATGCATACCTGTTTGAGGGCCTATCAGTTTCTGAGTTTGCCAGGTTTAATTTTTGACACAAAAACTCAAAATTCGTTTCAGTAATGTTGTTGGCAACTATCTTGAATATCTTCTCTAAGATTTTCTCTACATTTGAACAAGAATAAATATTTACCTCTTTTGAAAATGATACTCTATTTTGAGTTAATATAACTAGTTTTCTTATTTCTGTGCTTCTATTAAACATACATGTCAAGTAAAATTGAAAATGTAGATCTTAAGTATGAGCTGATATTTAAACCATTTGATTCATTCCTTCTAAAATCTGAAAAATCTTAAAATGGTTGTTTTTGTTTTGTTTTGTTTTTGATAGGGATGGGGTCTTGCTATATTGCACAGACTGGTCTCAAATTCCTGGGCTCAAAAAATCCTCCCACCTTGGCCTCCCAAAGAGCTGGGATTACAGACATGAGCCACCACACCCAGCCAAAATGATTTTTTCAAAGCATTTTATAAGCAACTTCAAAGTTATTTCCAAGCCCTTTAATTCTTTTAGAATTTGAGATAAATTTAACTCCTTCCTTCAATTCTGGCTTTTTTATGTGTTTGTGTGCATGTGTATGGAGAACATGGGCAATGATTTTATTTGCTTCTTTATGTACCAACTGGAGAAACCAAGTTCACATCTACTATAAATAAGGTAAATTTATGCATATTTCACATTCAAGTAGCTTATTTAATAAGTGTTGGCTTAGAAATTAGCATTTTTAGGTTTTTTAAAGCTTCCAGCAAATGTGAGCTACATTTATTTTTTGTTGACCAAAGCATTATGAGAATTTTCAAGAACTAGAAATCCTCCCTCCATGATCATCTCAGATATGATCTAATACATTTTTAAGCCTTTTATACAGACTTTCTCAGGTTAGAGTGCATGCTAGTGATATAAATGAAAATTCCAATTCCCTAAGTGTGAGCTTAAGAAAAGGATTCAATGTTATTTGTTAACTGCAAAATAAATACATTTTCCATGCTGACTTCTCCCCCACCCCTTCACTGGGTACAAAGCCTGCAGTCTGAAGGCTCCTTGGGCATAAAGAAAGGAGATACTCTCATTTTTACTGACTTTGATCTGTTGCAACTATCGCCATAAAGTGCTTACAGCATTTTCACCATAGAAGCTAAAACTGCCTGAATCCTCCTTCCTTGAGAACTTGAGACACAGAATTTTAGCAAGGGATTGCAATCATGTGAACTACACAGCCCTTCTCTAAAGTACCATGCTTAACAGAAATGCTTTATCTTTGAAAATCTCTAAAACCTCTATTTTACAGAAATAGAATTCCAGCAATATGTCCCCTTTTATGTTAATAATCAGCACAATCAGCTTGCACAGCAAGTTAAAGAAGACAACTACCGTGGTTTTGTATTTTATCTCTGGTTCCTTTATCAATGAAGGCCAAGTCTTGCAAAAACTTCTAAATGGTAGCCATATATATGGATGTATATTGTGACTTACAAAGAAGTGTGAATTTTTAGAGACTAAGAACACTAACATGCTGGTAAAAGCTCCTGATTATGTAGCCAAGGTACATGATAGAATGATGTGGAGAGACAGTTTTGGATATTCCATTTCTCCAAATATGGATCAGTACTTATTGGTTCATTGCATTAAACTAGACCAAAATTTGGATTCGCTTGAAGCAGTGATGAGTAGCAAGTCAGAATCTAAGGAAAAGCCTAATTGTTGGGAACCTAGCCCCAAGGAAAGAACTGGACAGGGAAGATGTTCTCTCAGAGGCTTAGAGAAGCCAGTCTCCAACGGGTCTAATGGGAAGACATTTAAAGAAAATGGGCCTGGTCTCAGAAACAGAGACATACAACTGAGAGCTCAAGGACAGAAGGGATGGAGACAGTCCAAGGATTTCAGATAGATGATCACAGTGGCCAAAGAATGACTTGCATCAGTGGAAATTATCTGTGGACTTCCCTCAAAGTGAAAAATATGTCTTTTGATAACAACTGCAAGTGGTAAAATGGATCAAAACTGAAAAAGTCATATGTGGAATCTCAGTCTGGCCACAAACACAATGAAACACCTATTGAAGGGTAATGGGTAAAAAAACAGCCCACCCCTCCGCTCAGATTGCCTGTTTTCAGTAGCCCAAGTTGTGTGAATCAATTATCAAAACCAATTCCTAACCTTCAGAGAAGGAAGATGATAAATATTTTAATATTTCTGTCAGACTGAAAACCTCCATTTAAAGCAAACTGTTAATTTACAAATATCAGAAAATGACTTGTAAGATAGTAAATCACTCACTACCTACCATCTCTTTCATCTGCCCTTTGTAGATAACGTGTGATAGTATACAACTGTTTTCCTTTACAGATTTCTATTGGAGGTCTCAGCAAAGGGTTGTCATCAAAATTTATCTCCTTCAGTGAAAAAAGGTTGTTGATAGCACTGGGCAGAGCTGTCAGATTATTTCCTAGTACAAAAAAATATAAATTGCATCATACATTTCTGTAAAAGAAGGCTACATTATCAAATAACCATGTGTGGGGAACTTATTATGTCTTGTTGCCAAAGTGCCAGAGGACCCTCACAATGCAATCAACTCACAGGTTCTTACTGATGTTCACATGCTAGGAGTAAAAAAGAGGGTGTATAGAAACAGAGCTGTGGTTCCTTTGTCTCTTGGAGTGGCAAAATGAGACAGGAGTTGATCCTCTTTTAATACAGCAAAGGACTTTAAAAAGTTGGTGTGATGGCAATTTATTTTTATTTTTGGAGTCAGAGTCTCATGCTGTCACCCAGGCTGGAGTGCAGTGGCATTCACAGCTCATTGCAGCCTCAACCTCCTGGACTAGGTGACTACTAAGTGACTAACAGGTGGGGCACACATGCAGCATGAATACGCTGGACAAAGGGATGATTCATATCCTGGGAGGAATGGTACAAGATCTCATCAGTGCTGATCAGAATGGTGCACAATTTAAAATTTATGTATTGTTTATGTTTGAAATTTTCCATTTAATGTTTTCAGGCCACAGTTAACCATGGGCAACTGAAACCAAAGATGAAAATGAAAGGGGAGTTACTGTACCTTTTTACACAGGATAAAAATCAGTTGACCATATAGGGGGTCTATTTCTAGACTCTATTCTGTTCCATCTATCTTTACATCTGATGTTTTGCCAATACAGTAAGTCGCCTACATACACACCTTCAAGTTGCAACTTTCAAATATGCAAACATACGTTCATATGTCCAGTTACTGAAGTTAGTTCATATGTCTGGTGTACATTGTCACATACATGCATCCTCTACAAGTGGTTGTGCTTTTGTATGCTTTACAGTACTGTCTAGAGTACAGTCATACAGGATGTCTGGAAGCGAGCATAAAAGCAGTGGTGATGCAGCTGTTACTGCTAAGAAGCACCAAGTAATAATGATGGAAACAAAAGTTAAAATAATTGAGAGGGTGAAGCAAGGCAAAAAGATGGTAGATGTCACTTGTGTTTATAACATGAACTGTTATCATACCGGGGCCACTGTTTACTTTTTATTTATCTTTCTTACCTTGTTGCACTAACAGGACTTCTAGTATAATGTTGAAAGGAGTGTTGAGAAAAGACAGCCTTGCTTTATTCCTGATCATAGTGGGAAAGAAATCTTTTACTATTGGGAGTGATATTAACTGTAGGATTTTTGCAGATACACTTTATCAGATGGAAGACGTTCTCTTTCTAGTTTGCTGAGATATTTTTGTTGTTTGTTTTTTAAATTATGAATAGAAATTGTATTTGTCTTACAATATTTTTGCCTTTTTGTGTGACAAAGTCTTGCTCTGTAACTCAGGTTAGAGTGCAGTCAGTAGCGGGATCATAGCTCACTGCAGCCTTGAACACCTGGGTTCAAGTGATCCTCCTACTTCAGCCTCCTGAGTAGCTAAGATTGCAGACATGAACCACCACACCTGACAATATTTTCTTTTTATACATATACTGAGATGTTCCTATGGTGGCTTTCCTTTATTCAGATAGTGAACTACGTGAGTGAATTTCTAATGTTGGCCCAACTTTGCATTCCCACAGTTAAGTCCTACTTGGCTATGAAATATCATTTTTTATAATAATGTTTATTTGCTTTAATTTCATTAAGAAATTCTGTATCAGTGTTCATGCAGGATATTAGTATGTACATTTTCTAGTAATATCTTTGTCTTATATTATCAGGATAATGCTGACTTCATAGAATGAACTGGGACATGTTTTATACTATTTTATTTTGTTTATTTATTTCTTAACTTTTTGAGTCAGGGTCTCACTCTTTCACACTGGCTGAAATGCAGTGGCATGATCACAGCTGACTAGTAGACTTGACCTCCTGTGCTCAGGTAGTCTTCCTACCTCAGTTTCCTGAGTAGCTGGGACTACAGGTGCATGCCACGACACTCCGTTTTTTATTTTTATTTTTAGAGACGAGGTCTCAGTATGTTGCCCAGACTGGTCTTGAACTCCTGGTCTCAAACAGGCCTCCTGCCTTGGCCTCCAAAAGTGTTGGGATTACAGTGTTGGGATTGGTCAATGTGCACTGCCTATCCTCAATTTTTAAATTGGTATTGTTTTTTCTTTAAATACTTGAAAGAATTCACCAGCAAAGCCACCTGAACCTGCAGTTTTCATTGCATGAGAGCTTTTAACTACAAATTCAATTACTTGAATAGATTTATAGCTATATGTTAGCCCTCTATATATCTACCTCCCGTTACTTACCCTCTTGCATTGTCACCTCTCACATTATACCAGGGCTGGTCTATGTGATCAGTGGAATGGAGCATAAGTGATGGTATGTCACTTCTAAGATTAGATTTTTAAAGACATTGCTGTTCTGTCTTAGGCATATGCTCTTTCTCTCACATTCTCTGGGAAAAACCAGTTGCCATGTTATGAACAGACTTCTATGAAAAGGAACTAAAGACTGCTGGCAATAGCCATGTGAGTAAGTTTGGAAGCAGACCTGCTAGCCCTAGTCAACCCAGATGATATGTTTACTGCAGTCTCAGACAGGTCTCTGAGATATGACAAGCTATCCAAATTACTCCTGGATTCCTGACCTTTAGAAACTGTGTGAAATAAGTGTTCATTAATTTAAGAAATTAAATTTTGTGGAAATTTGACACACAGCAATAAGTAACTAATACAACAACGAATGGCTAAAAGTACTGAACCGAGATATGAGGAGCTGTCAAGTGCAGAGAAGGAGTTTGCATTTTAGCCCAGTCATCTTAAGTGCCCAATGAAGTAACAATAAAAATAATGACAAATATCAATATTCTTTGAGAGACACATAATAGATTGCAGAGTCCAAAATTCAAAACAGAGAAGAAAATAAAATGTGGCTCAATCCCAAGAGAAAAGTTGACTCTGTTGTAAACATAAGTTTTTAAAGCAGCTAATATAACTATGCTCAAGAATGTAAAGAGAAATATGCTCATAGTGAATTAAAGTCTTGAAAGAAATGTAAACTATAAAAAAGAAGCAAATGGAAATTCAAGAACTCAAAAATGCAGTATCTGAAGTTAAAAAATCAACAGGATGGAATATCAAAATAGAGATGAAGCCGTGTTTAGTGGCTCAGCCTGTAATCCTGCACCTTTGGGAGGCTGAGGTGAGTGGATTGCCTGAGCCTGCGGGTTCGAGACCCACCTGGGCAACTTGGCGAGACCTCATCTCTACAATAAAAAAATGAGCTGGATGTGGTAGCGCATGCCTGTAATTCCAGCTACTCGGAAGGCTGAGGCGGAAGGATAGCCGGAGCACAGCAGGTGAGGCTGCGGTGGCCGGGAGCAGCCACTGCACTCCAGTCTGGGTGACCGAGTGAGACTCCAACTCAAAAAAAAAAAAATAGAGACGACAGAAGAGTCCAAAACTTGAAAGCAGAGTAATACAAGATTATGGAGATAAAGAGAGAGAGAGAGAGAGATTTATCACAGAGTTTTAGGGACTTGTGGAACAATGAAAAGGTACTTGGAAATCAAGACCAAGAATAGAGACAGAATGAAGTAGAAGAAAATATTTGAAGAAATAGTGGTTGAAAAATTCCCAAATTGGGTGAACTATATGGACAAGAAATTCGATGAAATATAAATATATGAACTCCCCCCCGCCCACGGCATACTCCTAAGATAGGTAGATAGAATCAACTTTTGAGAACTCTGGAATTTAATCCAAATCTTACAGCAGCCAGAAGACTGATCAATGATGAAATGGCAGACAATTTTGGTAAGTGTCCTGTGGCTATTCACTCACCTGCCTATTATCCTCCATTTCTCAGCATGGCAGCAGTAGCCATAAGAATGACAGTACATATTCCTAATGCAGCTTGCTGGTACCAGAGAGCTAATATAGACCTTGTTCTGAAAGTCCTGTGTTTGTGCATTTTGACCTGCCTTGCAGTTCCCTGAGTGACTGGCATAGAGACTGGCTTTTGTTTTGTGCTCCTCAATGAGGCTAGAGTTGCTTTCCTGGTGGTCATCATAACATTTAAAGACATACATTGCCCTGTAGTTCTTTTGTGTCTCTTTTCCTCCCTTGAGGTCTTCCTTTGTGCTTTGTTGCTTTTCCACAAAAAACAAAAACAAACAAACAAAAAAACCACTGGCACTAATGCATGAGTTCAGCAAAGTTACAGGATGCATAAGCAATATACAAAAATCAGTTGTATTTCTAGACCCTAACAACACACACTCTCCAAAAAGGACATTTTATTTATTTTTTTATTTTTTATTATTATAAAGATGTGGGGTACAATTCAGGGTTGGGTATACAAACACTGAATTTTGGTAGGGACTGCAAATCATAATTTGTTTCCCTGCAACAAATTATGCAGGGAAAACTGAATGTCCAAGTGCAAAAGAATGAAATTGGACCCTTATCTTACACTTTACACAAAAATAAACTCAAAATGGAGTAAGCAGTTACTCTTGTTGTATGCCCCTTCCTCTCCTAGCAGTTTCCCTCAACTGCCAATCCCCCCCCCACTACCAATTTCTTTCTTATAATATAGCTGGTTCAAGATCTGCTTATGAGTGAGAACATATGGTACCCTGTTCTTTGTTTCTGTGATAGATCACTGAGTATGATCATCTCTAAATCCATCCAAGTTGCTGCAGGGACATTTTCTTAATATGACAGAAAATCATGACATTTATAGTAGTATCAAAAAGATTAAAAATACTTAGGAATAAACTTAACCAAGGAGGTGAAAGACTTGCACACAGGAAACTACAAAGCATTTCTGAAACAAACTAAAGAAGACATAAATAACTGGAAAGATATTCCATGTTCATGGATTGGAAGACTTAATATTGTCAATATGTTCACACTACCCAAAGTGATTTACAGATTCAATGCAGTCCCTACCAAAATTCAATGGCATTTTTTAATAGAAAAAAATCTAAATTTATATGAAACCACAAAGGAC